GTTACCGACATCTGGTGAAAATTTCATGTCATTAGCACCTCTAGTAATATATTTACTGAGAAAAATGGTGACGTGTTCAATACTTATTTTACCTGCTGTATGTTCGTTGGGCTGCCTTCAGACCCAGGCCTCCCTCACAAAAAGGATCCATGATCTCAATGTCTGGTAGGTTTTTTTTTTAAATCCGGTCATCTTGTCCACCTTGGAAGAGGAGATGTAAGAAAATCTGGTGGCAGGTGAGTCCATTATAATGATTGCTGTGTTAGTTATAGAGCTCCAAGGTGAAAATGACTAAAATAAACTTAGCTTTGGAGATTGAATGGTGGAGCTCCTCCCCCTGAGGAAGTTCAAAGTAGAGACGCTGTTCCTCCACATCAAAAAGCGGCCACTGAGGTGGTTTGAGCATCTGAGCTGGGCATGTTTCTTTGGAGGGTTTTCGAGACTCTTCCCACTGGGAGGAGACCACATCAAAGCCAAACACCTTCCTGCAGGAGGATCTGGATGGTGTTGCTGGGGACAGGGATGTCTGAGTTTTCCTCCTGTGACCCGACCACAGATAAGCAGAAGATGGACGCAGAGACATTCACAATAAATTCAACACACAGAAGAAAGAAATGAAGCACACGTGTGGTTTGAATCTGTGTGTACTTTAATGACCGATGCAGAGGATGAGGTTCCCGTGTCTCTCAGCTGCAGACACAAGAGATTGAGTGAGAAAACAAAATAAAATAAAAAAGGTAGTTCAGGTTCCTCTGGAGCTTGGCACGTATACAGCAATGAAATATTCCATTTTAAACACACAACTTATACACATATTTTCTTTATAATCAGTTTAGAATTTACCATGAAAAAAAAGTCACTGATTCTCCTTCAATCTCTTTAGTTTTTTGCTCTAAACATACAGAGAGCAAATGTTCGGAGGGGGTTTGGAAAAAACTCAAACACACACGGCTGAGAGCAGCAACAAAAACACCATCTCACACACAAATTACACTTCCCATTTATTATTATTCTTTCTTAAATCAATGAAACTCTAGCATTTTCAAACAAACCATCCGAAAGACTGTGAACATAATCCAGACTCAAGAAGCCACTGCAAGAGCAAAGGAGCGACCTGTGGGAGCAATTAATGTGGTTCTAAGGCAATGTTGTAGTTCCACAGATCTGGAGCTGCTGATGCGGTGTGCTGTTCACACACACACACACACACACACACACACACACACACACACACACAC